AATTTAATAAGTTTTAACAAACCTAGTTAATTACAAAATAAATACCGACATATGACACTGGTTGACCAAGAATAGTAAATAAATAAATAAAAAAGGAAGAAAACTTTTAACTTATAATCAATGATGCATTAAATAGAAGACACAATAAATAAAAAATAAAAAGACTCTCTTACCTCGAAGTTACCATGTGACACAAGTTTACCATGTATTACAAAAAGAAACTCTTGCCTCAGATGTTAGAAAAATAAAAATACAATAGAATAGTCATCTTCCATTAATAAGTTTCTGATTGCCTCTCTGTAAAAATGCAGTTCTTTAGAGTTCTCAACGGATTAAACGTTAACACAATTCAAAGGAAAGAGTAGCTCAAGGATTTCTACACTCTTCTCAATGATGGAATCCTAGAGCGGTTTCAAATGGAAATATCATATAGATGCCCCTAGGGATTCCAAGGGCCATTGAGAATCATCTTAATATATGTATATTGGGAATGACTTTGGGATTATGGTAAACCTTATACAATAAATAAGAACGGTAGAAATTATGTTTTTCCCAAGTAAGACTTAAAATCAGAACAAGTCAACCACTCCAAACTGGGCACTTGTCGAGTGGTTGCATGAGATTATTACTATTAAAGTTAATTACGATAGGGTAGGGGTAGGGGTGTTCAAAAGAACCAGTTGGAATCGGAACTGGCGGGTATCCTGGGTTTGGTTCCGGTTCCTATCCAGAACCAGTCGTCAATGGGTAGGTTCCAATTCCAAATTTTTTTTGGACCGTTACTGTGCGATTCCGATTCTGATTCCTATAGTTAGGAACCAGAACCGGAACTAGGAACCAGGAACCAGGAACCAGGAACCGAGACTATATAAAATAATTAAAGATTAGGGGGTTATAAAAACTTTTGTAGAAAAAGTAATGTGATACATTTATATTATATTTCATAATTTAAAGTAAGTTGATTTGACTTTTGAGAATCTACCTTTACAAAGTAATGGAGTTTGTAATTTTGAATTTATAATTTTGATTTTATTTTTGTTAACAAGTGCCGGGTGGGGGGGGGGGGGGGGGGGGGGGGGGGGTTATTTGTAAGTTTTTAAGGGTTTTTTTGCGATTTTAAAAACTTTGGGAGGTCATGTAATTTTACAGGGTACCCAACTGAAACCGGAAACCGTTGTTACAGGTTCTGGTTCTAGGTACCTAGAAACTGGAACCGTCGGTTCTGGTTCTGGTTCCAAATTTCAAGGAACCGTCGATTCCGGTTCCTTCAAAAAGTGCAGAGTACCAGAACCGAACCACCCTAGGTAGGGGTATCAAAATCAAAGGCACAATAAAAGAAAAATAATTGTCGACATGACTAGAGCGGGCAAGGGACCGATCCTTACGGGCCCAGGCCTGGGCCCGTTTGGACTGGTCCCATTTAGGACCAGTCTCTCATGGGCCTGGGACCGGTCCCAGGCCCATGAGAAAAACCAGGACCCGACCAGGCCTTAGGCCTGGTCGGGACTGGTCCATGGGGTTTGGAAAATTTTATTTTCCCCCCTCAAATTTTTTATATTTTGGGGGCAAAATGAAATTTTATAGGGGGTTTTAGTATTTTTTTTAGGGGTTGATTAGTAAGTTTCTAAAAATTAATTAATTTTAAAAAATAATAAATTAATAGTTAATTTTAATTTTTAACATAAATATAATATTCACATTTCCACACTTCACGCTTCACAAATAAACAATTAAATAATTTTTTATTAAATTATTCATCTTCAATTTCATCGTCAACACTAGTTACATTATTCAAATCTGTATTCCTAAAGAGTTCGAGTAGTTCAGGATCTTCAAGGTGCTGTTGTAGTCTTATTTCTGCATGAGTCCAATCTCGTAAACACGTTATCACTCAATCATCTCATCGGTTAAAGAACATCTTCTGTCTTCAACAATCCGACCACTCATTGAAAATGTTGACTCGGATGCAATTGTAGAAACCGGCACAGATAAAATGTCACTGCCATTTGAGATATAATGGGGAATTGACTTTCTTGTTGGTTCCACCATTGAAGAATATCATGTCAAGTTGCTCCTTCATCGTCATAAAGGTCAAGTCCACCTGTAGGTAGCGAGTTCATCTCATTTGGTCTATGTATGTACGAGCTGGAGCTAGAGCTGGAGCTTCCGCCCGTCCCATATACCGCCACTTGCTCGATCCTTGAGGAGGGGCTACATCAAGGTCCTGATCGCCTCTCCTAGACGTTCCACTTCTACTTCCACTTCTACTTCCATTGTATCCGTTCTCATATAAAGAAAAAAGCCTATCCAATTTGTGTTTAAGTCAGTCAAATAAGCGTTAATCATGTCCTAAATAATGGCTTAACTCAGTAATTACACCGTTAACTACGGATAATTTAAACGTAGGATCTAGAAAAAGGCCTAATCCATATAAGAATGGATATCTAACCAATATCTCTTATATTTTTCTTCCATACTTGAAACAATTTCACTAAAAAATGTTATCATATCTATATTGATCAAAAGTTTTAGCAATTTGAACTAAAATATCTAACACTAAATTAGTAGTTGGATAATATACCACTTATGTATTAGTAGCATCATAAATTTTTAAGAAATGAATAAAAAAGTTCACAAACCGCCCAATCATCATAGTTGACAACTTCCTCTGGATAGTTCTTCGGCTGACGAAATCTGTAATTTGTTTCGCGGTTGGCAAAGCTTTTTCCAACATCAAGTAGGTTGAGTTCCAACGGATAGGCATGTCTGTACTAACTCAAAGGTCGAACCGGTGGGTCCTCTTGCTTACAATATTGACGTACTCCTGCCATCTTTTATTGCTACCGCCGACGATAAATCCGATAGTTCTACGCACCCTCTCAATCTTTAAATGTATACATCTAAACCTGCTTTAACTATCAAATGATGATGTGACAAGCACATCTCTGGTGATAAAATTTGCCTTCACCAGCGGATCCAATTTCTTTTCAAATAAGATATTGCCACGGTGTTAGCAGCTGCATTATCAAGCGTTAGCGCTACAACTCTATCAGTTAATAATATTCTTGCAAAACTTCAAGAATTGTAAAATAAATGTTTCAGCATTATGTTTTTCATATAATGGTTTAAACTATCAATTTTGTTGTAAACCCCAATTATGATCTAAGAAATGTACTGTAACAGTTAAAAAATCGGTTTTTGATCTACAAGTCCATATGTCTGATGTAAGTGCAATAGATATATTCCTAAAATTTTGAAATTCATTTTTAAGTTTATTATTTATTTTGTATAAAGTTTTAGTATATCTCTTTCTACTTGTAGTTCTACTAAAGGGGTATATGCGACAAAATGCAGTTTTAACTATATTAACAAAAAAGGATTTTCAGATATAACAAATGGGAGAGTCCGTAGCAACTATATATCTTGCTATTTCCTCTCATGCAATATGTGTATTGTATTGTCATGTGAGAGAAGTGAGGATTGTGGATTAAAATAAGTTGAGTTTGAATTTGTCTACCTGATCCGCTTGAAGATGCATTTATTTGGGGATGCTTCTTCTCTACGTGTCGTCGCATCGTCGAAGTCCCCTTCTCAGCCCCAATTGGTTCCACATAAATTACATATCCCACACGATTCTTCCCCCTCTCCATTTGTCTTTGGCCTTTTTGATTTGGTGAAGTATCGCCAGACATCGGACACGACCCTCTTTGACGGTCGGGGGGGTTGGGCTATGTCCGTGCCCGTTGAATCGCAGCTCACATGTGTTTGGCTACACCTCGTCCCGACCGAATGTGGTTGTGGAATTACAGCTGCATCCTCTAGAGGAAATGGTGAAATGGATTGAAAGCTTCAATTTCTTCGGTGGATGGAATGTAAAACTCATTTGGGGAAGACATTATAAATTTATGATAAAATAATAAATAATTAAAATGAAAAGAAATTAAATAATAATATGAAATTATGATGATATTGAAAAATAGAAAAAAAATTGAATAATATAAATAAATAATATAAATAAATTATAAATATAAATTGAATGAGAAATTGATTGGAGATTTGGAGTAGAGAGATTGAGAGAATGAAAGAATGAGAGATTGATTGGTGTGAAAAAAATTAAAGGTTTTAGGGTTATTTATAGTGTAGTTGTGGGGGGGAAAATGAAAAAAAAAAAACTTATAATTATATAAATATAACCGTTGGGTGTCAGTTGACCATTGGCAGTTAAATTTTTTTTTTTTTAATAAATTTTATAAAATTTTGTTTTAGTCCTTTAATTTATACTTATTTTAGGGGGTTTAATGTAATTTTATAAATAACTAAAATGATAAAAGGTAAAAAAAAATTGGGCCCAAGCCTGGGACCGGGCCCAGGCCCGGGCCTTGGAGGAGGGCCCAGTGGAGGGCCTGGGCCCTCCTCCTTAGGTCTGGTCCTGTTTTGGGACCAAGCTTCCTAGGACCGGTCCTCCGAAGGACTGGTCCTAGGACCGGTTTTTGGAGTTGGGCTTTTGGGCCCGGTCCCAAATGCCCAGCTCTACATATGACACTAGTTGACCGTGGAGTGGAAATACAAGTTATAAAAATAAAATAAAATCTTCCAATTAATGCAGCGAATCTCTTCCCCTGATGCCCTCCTACTAATTAAATCATAACAATTGAATTTGATTTAATGATCGATCTGGATGGGTTCTTGTGAACAAGTATTATAAGAAGTTGCCTGTAAGAAGCATTAAAACACTATTTAATAAGAACAGCCACTGAGAAGTTCCTCGAGGAAGCATTTATCTATAGATACCAATTTCTCTTCTTCATCACAGTTTATCCCCTCTTCTTCATTACAACTAATCGCCTCTTCTTCATCACAGCCTACCACATTATCAGGTGAGGGTAAGAGTATGTAGTACGGAATTAAAATAAATTTTCAGAAGTAAAAAAATAATCTTTCCAACCAGATAACTTACAAGTACGAAAAATTTTCAGTTTGTTTTTATTGCAGATATTTACATGACGTACCTACAACTATATAAAGCTATACTCGAAGGCAACCTGAATTCTGTAAAAGAAATCCGTTCAACGGATAACTCTTCGTTAGAGGCCAGGATCACGAAGAACTTGGACACAGCTCTTCATGTAGCTGTAGCTGTTGGGACAGAAGAGGCGAATTGTATTGTGGAGTATCTGTTGGGAGAGATGTCAACAGATCAAGTAGCACTGAAAAATAAAGAGGGCAACACGGTCCTTTCCATTGCTGCAATTGTTGGCAATTCCCAAGCAGCCAAAATGATATTGAATATGAATAACCATCAATATAGCAATTTAACTGAAGTTCCAAACAATTCTGGAAGGATACCCTTGATTGAGGCTGCTCGCCATGGCCAAAAAGATATGATTGAACCTTTGGGTACTAGAAATTATTTGAACAATGTTGCCGCAACTGATTACGATAGTGCCGTCCCTTTCATAAATTCGCTTATAATTGCTGGATTTTATGGTGAGTTAATTCTTTCTTACAGTACTACCGTGCGATTAGATTTTATTTTAATAATATACCAGACACTTTAAAACTAATTTCCAAGTATATACCAAATCATGTATATCTTTTACGGTCCAATACATTGCAAATTAGAAACTTTGCTGGTGCAAGTTTCATCTAATTACTTTATGGATGCACATTTTTAACAATTTTCTTCATGTTTAAATTTGAAAATAATAATCCTAGGCTCCTATCTATGATTATGTCTCAGACGTGGCACTAGAATTGCTTCAAAACTATCCAAGTTTAGCCACAATGCAGTCATCTACTGGCGAGTCCGTTTTGAGTGCAATAGCAGGAAAGCCGTCTGCGTTTCCAAGTGGACAAAGAAAGCTAAGGTGGTGGCAATACCTCAATGTTTTAAGAGTCAGTATGTATTTCTCACATATTTACTGATTTTCTATCATGCATTCTCTCGTATGAATATCCCTGTTATTCACTCGTTTGTTTTCTTCTAGTTTTGTTACCTCATCATCTATTCATAAATATTATTCTTGGAGTAGCATTCTACAAATCAAGATATGTATGTTTTCACTAAAGCTCAATTTTACAGTTGAGTAATTTAATGCCAATTTGGTGACTTTGATTCGCAACATGCTATTGCATGTGTAATGAAATTTTTACTTATAATAAATTTTTTTATAACTTATATATTAAAACATACTCAAGAAGTATTTAAGAATTTAAAGTTTTTAAAAAGCATATTGAATTGACCAATACAAAACTCTTAGAATTTTTACGTATGAAACCCTAAATTGTTTTCTTTTGACTTATAATATTTTACTCAGTTATATATAGATATATTTATGTTAATGTTGACTGTTGGGTCTGTTTCATTTGCAGTTCCCAATTATAAAAACAGAAGACAAGAGACACGAGAGACAATGTTAATGCTTGAAAAAGTACTTGAACTCTTGTGCGAGAGAATTACTAACAATTCAGACGACTATGACATATTGAAACGATCACTCTTTTTAGCAACAGAATTAGGGGTTTGTGAAGTTGTGGAAAAAATTATAGATTCATTCCCGACTGCAGTTTGGTTTAAAAATGAAAAGTATCACAATATACTCCACTTGGCAATCATGAACCGTCAAGAGAAGGTATTCCAATTCATATGTCAAAAGATTGGTCGCATATGTATGTTATTGATGTCTCCAGACTTTGAAAGGAACAATTTATTGCACTTAGTTGGAAAATGGGCACCAAAAAATAAACTAAATCTCATTCCTAGTGCAGCTTCTCAGATGCAGTATGAGTTACAGTGGTTCAAGGTAAGAATTTTTAATTTGAATATAACATGATTACTAAGTAATAGGTTTTAGTGATACTTAAATATTCAGTTATCTTCTATTATAAATTGCTTTCCCTTTTTTATAACATAAATTTCAAGGATACATGTTTAGGTGTTAAATTCCTTCTAATTATCTCCTTAAAGAAATTTGAGCTTATTTATTCACTTTAAGAGCACTCTTTGAATAAGTTTTGCTAGTTATGAAATATATCTTGTTCAGAAAGTGGAGAAAATTGTACCACCTGACTACAAAGAGGAAAAAAATTCTAAAGGAGAAACTCCAGGAGAGTTATTTACCGAGGAACACAAGGAACTGCGTAAAGAAGGTGAGAAATGGATAAAAAAGTCAGCAACTTCATGCTCAGTAGCAGCTGCATTAGTTGCCACAATAGTATTTGCAGCGGCAATCACTATACCTGGTGAGTACAAAGATGATGGTGAACCAAAATTTTACAAACAGGTAGCCTTCACAATCTTTAGTATATCAGATGCATTCTCTTTGTTATCATCAATCGCTTCCATCATAATGTTCTTATTTATCCTCACTGCAACCTATGGAGAACGAGATTTTCTTCATGTCCTGCCCAACCTGTTAATGTTTTGTCGGTTTATGTTGTTCCTCTCCCTAGCATCGCTAATGGTAGCGTTTTTTGCTGCTGTTTTTATGGTGTTTTGTGGAAGAAGACTAAATTGGGTATTTGGTATAGTGTTTGCATCAGCTGTACTGCCTTTGTTCGTTTCTATAATATATCGCCTCCTTTCCCGCAAGCTAAAAAAATGGTATTTGAAATTGGTCTCTTCCTTCCCAAAATCAAACACTTGTTTTGCTAGTACTGGTACTCCTCCTTCCAAAATTAATGTTTGATGGTCCCTGTTCTAGCTACCATCGCCTGCCAACAGTGAAGGGTGTTTGTTTCATTATTTGTATTCCATTGATCTTAGGAAACTAAAACTCTACAAACACATAAAACTGTTTACGGGGCAGTTTGATATTGCTGTAATTTTTATTGTAGTCACTTGTACTTGTGATGTGGAAATAATGACTTAGTGAAAAAAAAAATTACAGACTGCTTTTATTTTTAAATTTGTGTGTGTGCGCGTTTCCAAGTGCTTTGTATGTATATACTTACTAAAATGGAAATCATTTTGTTTATAAAAACTCTTAATATTTTATTTAAACTAATTATTAGTGATTAAGTTATTAATTCATGAATGATATATTAATATCAGTAAATATGAAATGAATTTATACTTTTTAAAACAAGAAAATAAGTAATTGAATAGTTGCAACAGCATTTGAAGATCCATCGATACTCCGACCCCATCCGCAGTAAAGAAACGTCTTCTTGCCTTAAGAGAACAAGTGCGCATAAGGTGTTTTGGTGCACTTCCTTAGTGAACTCTTTTAGTCACTTGGCTCCGTGGGGCCTATCTGCCCATGGACATTTCTTGATCCCGACTATGTGCCACCAATTCCCCCTTCCTTCATTCAAACTCAGCCACCTAAACCAAAGATTAAAACTTTTGCTTCAATTCTTTCTAGTGCGGAAGATTATGGAATCATCCAGATCAATTTCCACTACCAACTATAAGAGGACATACCGTTTATGTTTCTATTGATACTAATGACATGACCTATCCCGACCCTTTCTATTTTATAGGCTCTAGGCACACCAATAAGAATCAAGAGGCCGAAACCTATCATGTGGAAAAGCTGAAAAACTTATAAGACTATTTTTTGGAATAACTTTCATAACACCTTTCTCTTAATTTCATCATAAAAGCATATACATGTATATAAATATATATTGGAAAATCTAATAACATAACAAAACTATTTTCCCCTTTTTTGAATAAACTTCCATAAAACTTTTTCATTGTCTACCGCATCCAAAAAACTACATAACAAAACTATTTTCCCATTTTCTAAATAAACTTCCATAAAACTATTTCGTTGTCTATCATCATGCAAAAAACTACATAAATAATATATCTTACAAATCCGAAAACATAAGGTATCAGGCCTCATATACTACACCAAAACATGAGGCAAGCAAAAAGGTAAAACATGAGTTTTATCGCAAGAAAATATACAATGTTTCACACAAAATGAGGCGACGTTGCATGGGCCTAACATTGACCAAAAAGTCACTGCTCAACATGATCTAGGTTTTGACTTGGAAATTCACTGTATTTTATCCATATGGATCCATTTTAAATATATCCAATGCATTTGGATAAAATCCATGGAGATTTTTTTTTTGACATCCCTAGAGGTTAATGTCATGACTCTTTGAAAGACTATCCACTAATCGAGCCTTTTAGCTTACCCTATTCCCTCTCCAAATCACCAGAGGGATTGTGCTAAGTAGTTATCCATTTTGTGCCTTTTTTTTTTTTTTTTTTTTTTTTTTTTTATTTGATCAATCCAGAATTGTATAGAAAAAAAAAAAAAAAAGAATACAAGAGAAAAGGAAATAACCCTTACAACCCGCCTACCTTGGACAGGCCCAAGGGACAAAAGCAAAAACTAACCAAAAAGGGACAAAGCCCAAGACCTAAAGCCAGTAGGCCCAAGAACAAAAAAGGGCCTAAACTAAGCTTTAAAGCTATAAAGCTATACAAAAATATATACAAGAGTTTCTGGCCCAAGGAGTTAAGAGTCCAAGTTCTGTACAAAAACAAAAAGGCCCGAAGAAAGAGAGCAGAAAGCCTCCTCCAAAATAACCCAGCCGGCCCAATTCCAATTAGTGGACAGTTTTGGAGCCAGGGAATCAAAGGTGAATAAATCAGCTGAAGTTAAAGCCATACTGGAGCTTGTGCAATTAGTACTTATGAACACAAAGTCCTTCATTAATCTGTTTCTTGACAGTCTTTGAAAGCCACTAAGATTTCTGCTTTCTGCAAAGTCGAAGGAAAAATCACTTGCCCAAGCAAACTTTGTCAATAAAAGTTTAAAAAAAAAAAAAAAGGCATCAATATCTGGATAAGCTTTCCCATGTACATCTCTACAATAAGCAAATACTTCACTTGTTTTTCCATCCAGAATGGTTTTCCAGGACATCACCCCAAAGTGAATAACTGAAGCATCCTTTACATGTTGCAGCCAGATCATAAAGAGAAACAACAACTAGCAACCATGCAACCCTTCATCTCCGAAATAACGCTTCCTCACAGCAGGCATGACTTAGATCCCATTCAGCCATGATTCTACGAACTCTTTCATTATCTTTGTACTTAAGGGAATGAAGTCGCAATCTAACTTTCCCCCATATCAAACCAGCAAGCTTTTCAGAACTTCTCATGGTATTTTTAAACAATCTAAAATTGCGCTCCTGCCAAACGAAATAGATAGAAGCTCCCAATAACAACCTGCAAACCACTGCTCTTATCCATTTCCCTTTAAACTTCTTAGTGCACCAGTTCACAATATCAAGCCAAAATGTCGAGGGGGCTTGAATTGCCCATAAGATTGAACTGCTTGCTAAATTCTTTGGGAATACATGTTAGGGCCAAAAATCGTCCTTGACCCAAATAAGAAAACAAGACCACTAGTGAAGAAAAGACTAGGCCCAGTCCTAAAGAGGCCCAAGCCAGATCAGTCCCATTTGATACGAGATACGGCTGACCCAAACCCTCTAGGCACGGGCCTCCCAGTTCCAGTTCACTTCATGGGCCTATAGGCAAGTTCCAAGTCCACGGCCCACTGATCATATTCCTGTTCCTGATCAATCTCCTACTCGAAGTCATTTTCCTGTTCAGAACACTTTCCTACACGAAGTTACTTTCCTGATCAGAATCACTTTCCTATCCGGACACTGGTAAGATAGCTTACCACGACGCTAATTCTTCTAGGGTTTGCATCAGAGTCACATTAGGACTCCTACTCCCACCATGATTGGGAGACAAGACAGTCATTATATAAACAGAGGCCCACCCTCTCACAAGGGACAGTACATTACACCTTCACACCCGAAGCTCCTACTTGAGAGCTTTACATCACCGCTGTAGTCACAGTCTCCAACTAGACTTCCGGTAACCTCTCTATTCCCTAGCCCTCACTATACTAGCCTCTTTCAGCCTTGCTGACTTGAGTGTCGGAGTGTCTACGACAAACACCACCCCGGTGTTTCCCGTTCGCTTCACACGTGTGTTTCTCTACGTGTGCAGGTGCATCAAATCGCTAGTGGCCTCAACCTCACAGGATCAGACCCCCCTTCCGTACAGGTAGATTTTTATGTCTACAGTTTGGCGCCCACCGTGAGGCCTCTAGCAATCATTCGGCTCAACGAACCTTGCTACGTGGAGGAACATTCCATGGCTGACAATCCCGACAACGTTAACTCCAGCCTCGAGGCCAGACTGGAGGTTTTGACCTCTCTCATGCAACAAAACTCAGACAAGGTGGCCGCACTGGAAGCCAAGAACAATGCAATCCAGACTGAAAACGAGACCATTGGGGCTGAAAACCAATCTCTAAAAGAGAAGGTGAATCATTTCTATGATCTCGAGTTCTTGCCCAACCAAGTACCCCCCAATCGGTTCTGCGCCCCTATCCCATCCATGCAACCACTCTCCACACTAGAGCATCGGCTCT